TCCGAGACCGCCTTCTGCCGCAGATTCTCTCCCATAGACCGGTACGCGCTCACAGAGTGGGTCTCCTCAGGGTGCCGTCGGCCAAGCAGTGTCGGCTGGCGACCCCCAGGGGGAGGGCCTTCTCTGTGGGTGCCCCCGCCCTCTGGAACGAACTACCCCCCTAGATCCGGGTGATTCCGGATCTCCTGACTTTCCGCCGCGCCCTCAAGACATGGCTTTTCCAGCAAGTGGGCCTGGCCTAGGGAGGATTTTAAATCGGGTTCATTTTTAGAAAATTTTAAATATCACAACTTAGAATATTTGGGTTTTAATTGGTTTTATTCGGCGGGGATTGTGGGTTTGTTTTTGTTTTAAAAAATGTTGTGAGCCGCCCTGAGTCCCTCGGGAGAAGGGCGGGATACAAATTGAATAAATGAAATGAATGAATGAAATGAAATGATTACTTAAAGAATAATTGTCTGCAATACAAACAACTCCCATCTTTAAATACCGTATGAAGAAAGATTATTCCTGAAAAATATTTTCAGATAAATTTTACTTTGTTGAATTTTGAACCCTGACAATTTTTTCCAAGGCAAGTGTCTGTTGAAGTAGCAGGATATGACTTTCAGAAAGGATATTTTTTTTTTTTGTGACGAACTTGGTTCCTTCTGAGCTTTGTTATTTGCTTCCAAACGTCTCATCACCCAACTAGGTAATATCATCAGTGCTAGAGAGTGCCAAGGGCTCAACCTTGAGTTACAGGGGTTCTAATTCTCTTCTATTGCAATTCTTTTTTGTCACATAAGATTAAGTCTAGTAGGAAGATAGTGGTACCTTCTTTCTTCAGATGTATATAATTGAAATCACAAAATACCTTTTTGAGGGAGTAGGAGAATTGTAAATGAATACTGTCTAACAGATTGGTTTTCTTCTTTTCTTTTTTACTGATAACAGTGATTAAGGCCAATTTTTTGGAAGTTTGATAATGTTTTTATTTGAATTCACCAATGGTGTATGGTATACCAAAAGGAATAACAGTTTCATGCTGTTATCTATTTCTTTAGGAATAAGGGAGGAAAACAAGCAAGCAGTTACACTACTGTAATAGGTCTTCTTTCAAGGATCCTCTCTGTAACAATTAACCATAAGTAGATATCTAAGATAACAAGCAAGTGAGTCTAAAATGCATTTCATGCGAGTCTAAGGAAATTATGGTAGCCAGAAATTGTCCTACCTCACACTATGTTTAGCTTGAATGAATTATAGTTCAGTGCTTACACCTACTTATTTCTGGTTCTCAATATTAGGAAAAGGACAATAGAATTGGATTGATTAAAAAAATAAAAGAAGAATGGCTGCTGATGGTATCATGTTCAAGTATTCTACATAGTTTTGACAAGAATTGAGATATATTGAGACAAGATGGACCCTGTCAGGTTCTCAGAGGAAAAATCCAGGGGAGGTAGTATTTGCTTACCATTGTGACAAACACTTAATAACTTAAAGAAAAATAGAATAATATTAATTATTTGAACACAAAGCTGAAAACAATATAATCAAATGCAGTCAGATGGTTACATGCAAAACTCTCCTTGCTTCACCGGTTGTTGTCTCTGAACCGTTAAAGTTTCTTTGGAAAGCCTAAGGATTGTTTTAAAGCCTGACTTACTTTTGATTCTTTACTCTGTGAGAAATTGAAGTATTCAGCAAGACAGACCCACAACCGGAATGGGTGGTATTGGTGGAACATACTATGTTGATCTCTGAAGTTCTGGTTCATGATAATGATGATCTCTTCTCCTTCCTTTGCTCAAAAGTTTTTGGATATATGAACCAATGACTTTCTGAAACTAAGATCTCATTTTATATGTTTTATCAATAGTTTGTAAACATTCTTCAACTCTACCACATGGGGTCAGACTGCCCTAATCATTTAGAATATTTTTTATGATAAGCTTCTTGGAAGAAGGAACATAAATAGAAAGGCAGTTTTCGAATTACCAACATTGAAAGTGACAGCATGGTATGAACTAAAACATGGACTCTGCACCCATACCTGAGAGTTTTCATGTTTTATTCCAGAATATGGACATAAAACATGGTAGCACGTGGTATGTTCCTCTCAGAATCAAGCCAGCTGGTCAATCTTGCCCGCTTTCAGGGCACTCTGTTATATTTCCCTTCCTACCATGTTTCCCTGAAGTTAAGACCTGGTCTTATATTTCTTTTGCCTCCAAAGAGGCACTAGGTCTTAATTTCGGAGAATGTCTTACCTTAGGATCATCGCACCCAAGCCTCCCATGTCCCGACACTTGTCGCGCCGCTGCTTGACTTCTTCTGTGGCCACTTGTTGCCACCTGCGGCCGGACGCCATGTGGCGCATTGTGCCATTGCCATTCCTCCCAGCAGGATGCCACATGGTGCTTTGGGCTGCTTCCACTGCTCACACACTTTGGGCTGCTTCCATGGCTTGCACTTTGGGACACTTCCGCTGCTTGCGCAGCACT